TGACCGGTTTCTTGAGATTATGTTGTTTTACTTATTTAATGTGCTTGGATCTAGGAATTCAAAGATGAGGGGTTCCTGGGTGGCTCAGTAGGTTGTGTCTGACTCTTGGTTTCAGCTCAGGTCATGATCTCATGGTTTTGTGAGTTTGAACCCCAAGTTGGGCTCTGTGCTGGCAACATGGAGCCTGTTTGGGATTCTTTCTCTCTCTCTGTCTCTGCCGCTCCCCCATTGTGCTGTCCCTTTCTCTCTCAAAATAAATAAATAAACTTAAAAAAAAACAAAACTAAACAAAGATAAGTAAGCTTTCCTTATGGAGATCTCTCTTTCTAGTGGAAGAAAATGTGAACAGATAAAAAGTACAATGTGGAAAATATTACTAGATTTCTAATCTAAAGTCATTGTAATCTCAGAAGTCAACAGCTAACTCTGCTGGTGGAATTACTAAAGAGCTTCCACAGAGGTGACATTTAAGCTAGATCTTTAAGAATGAATGGGAGTTTTTCCAAGGTGGTTGAGGATATTTCAGGTGGAGGTAGTAACTCATACAAAGGTATGGAACTGTGAAATTGTGTGGTATGTCTTTGCACCTTTGAGATCATTGTGTTGATACTATGGGTAACATGAAGGAAGTCTGGAAAGGTAGATCAGGGCCGGATTTTGGTCATTTTTACATCTAAGCAAAGGAATTTAGATTTTATTCTTTGTGTATCTTGAGATCACAGGGTGTTGGATGAATGAGATGGTGGCCACTGCTCATTCCAGCTCTGTTGGAATACTCTACATCTAGCAAAGCCTAAGTTTTCATTTTCTTCAGAACATTTCGTCCAGATATGCACTTAAAAAAAATGAATATACCTTACTGACTCACATAGCATTTCCTTACTACCACATTCTATCACAGTTTATTGATTCCTTGTTTTGATTTCTTTATTTCATCAGCTATTTATCTGAAGTTACCATGTCCATTTCTTTTTTACTTTGCTCTTGCTGTTTCTTGCTTCCACAGCAGGTTCTTACCTAACTTGCCCTAACCAGTGCTTGGCACTTGGTAGGCACATATTTGTATTGAATGAATGAATGAACTATTCATTCTAATAGTTAATATCTTAAACCTCTAGTGTCTTAAGTCTAGTATTCTACCCTATGATGATGGTTTTCTAGTCCTTGTCTTCCTGCCTCCCCCCATAGCTCTTCATATTATTTCAGCACTTTGACCTCACTGCCTTCATTTTCTTCTAATCTGTTAGCTTCCCCCCTCCTCACTTTCTTACCTAACGAGCCTAGATTTCACTGTCCATCATTCCAGGTATATTTTTGTCAGTCTTTTGTTCTATCTCCCAGGCTCCCCTTTGTTTTTGTCCTGTCTCCCTATCATAATCCTTGCCTTGGCTCAATCTGATCCAAATTCAAGAATAGGAGTGTTTGTTAGAAAAAATGACTTAACTGTGTAGTTGGTGGCAGGTATATATTCATAGTCTTGAACATCATGTAGACTTCCTGAATTTCCCAGAAACCTTATGTTTCCTAGTCATCGTAGTTTTCATTCCCACATCACTGTTCTTCTCTATTTTACTCTCTACTTTTCCTGCATTTTACAACTTTTATTTCCCTTCATCTATTTTACAAAGAAATTAAAGCTGTTAGAATGAATTTTCTCAACATCTTACCTTTATATTTACAGTTCTTTCTATATGCATGTCCATCTTTGCCTCCTTTATTTCCATCCTAGTGCATGGATTATCCTTTCTCCTGTTTGATGTGAATCCTTTTACCTGTAGTCTATATCTATCCAACTCTACTTCTTTGGAGGCTTTGCTGTATCCGTCATCATCTCTCTTCCACTTTATATTCATTGTCATCAGTATGTAAATATGTTCACATGTGTCCTTTTTAATAACAAAAAAGCTGTCCCTCCATGATTTCATGTCTTTCTTTATTTCCTTGACATTTGTCCTAAATTCGGTATTTTCTCTGTTCCTATTCATTCTTCAATCCTCTGCAGTCTGTTGAACTTCCTTAGAAGTCTTTGCCATGGTCCCCACAGACTTCTTTGTTCTATAACTAGTGGGTGCTTTTTAGTGACTGCCCTGGTATTTCTTCTTCCTCTCGAAAATGTTCTTTCTAGTTTCCATAAGACCTCTTTCCTCTTACCTATATGTTGGTGTGTATTCTTTTATAGTTTCCTTTGCATAACAGCAAGCCACAATTTGGTAAGTCAGTTTTTTTTTTTTTTTTTTTTATTAAAAAAATTTTTTTTAATGTTTATTTATTTTTGAGACAATGCGAGAGACAGAGTGCAAGCAGCGGAGGGGCAGACAGAGGGAGACACAGAATCTGAAGCAGGCCCCAGGCTCTGCGCTGTTAGTCCAGAGCCTGATGCCGGGCTCGAACTCATGAACCGTGAGGTCATGACCTGAGCCAAAGTCGGATGCTTAACTGACTGAACCACTCAGGCACCCCGGTAAATCAGTTCTTAATACAGATGTTTACTAAGGATTAGACAGGAGAAAATTAAAATTGTATTTACTGTCAAGAATTTGGAATGAAGATATTTTATGTTGCCAGTTATGGGTCATTTAAGATGCATTAAGTGTTATGATTCTCTTAAGGAGGTGAAGGAACCCAGTCACGAGTTGTAACTGATGGATTGTGAGGAATTGACCGTTCATCCTGACATTAAGTAACAACACACAGCCCCTGGAATAGCAGTTAGCAAATGTCCCATCAGGTGTATTGTATTCAGTTCACTGGACAGGTATCTTTACCATACAGTTCATTGTTTTCTCTTTTTCTCTCTTTTCCCTTATCTACTCATTTCTTTAATCTTTTTAAATTATGACAAAGAATGCATATGTAAACATACATAAACCAAAGAAGTGGCTTTTTTTAATACTCTAGAGTGAATATTGATGTAAGCACTGTCCAGTCTAAAAATAGAACATAGTGCCCAGTCTACCTGGTGTGTACCTTTCTGGTTATACCACCACCACCTCCAGCCTTATCCCCAGAGGTAACCACTCTCAAACTTTTGAAGGTATCCCTTCATTTTCCTTATAGTTTTAAAAACTAAATATGCATCTGTATGTAAAACTTAACCTGATTTAAACTTTGTGTAAATGGAAAAATACAGTAACTGTGTGTGTGTGTTTTGTGTGAGCATACCATTGTCTAATTTCTTTTACTCAGGGTTGATCTATGTTTTTGTCTATAGTTGAAGTTCATTCATGGTATTTATTGTGTCTGAATATATACATATATTCATAGTCTGAGTATACGATAATATGTTTATCCATTCTACTCTTGATGAACATTTGCATTGTTTCCATAACAGTGCTGTTATGAAGATTATTGTGTAATGGCATGGCACGGAATTGCTAGTAAAACTAAAAATCAGTTTTACTAGATTTTGTCTATTTATTATATGTATTTTAAGGGGTGCCTGGGGGCTTGGTTGAGTGTCCAACTCTTGATTTCGACTCAGGTCATGATTTTCTGGTTCTGGGATTGAGCCTTGCATCAGGCTCAGCGCTGAGTGTGAAGCCTGTTTGAGAGTTTCCCTCTTTCTCTGCCCCTCCACTGCTCACACTGTCTCTCTCTCAAAATAAATAAATAAACTTTAAAAACATCAAAAAAGCTTGATTGGAAAGGGTCATCAGAGGAACATGGGAACTAAAGAGTTGGATATAGGAATTTAGAAAAAGTCTACTTGCCAGGGTGCCTGAGTGGCTCAGTTGGTTAAGTGTCTGACTTGATTTTGGTTTGTGTCATGATCTCACGATTGGTGAGTTTGAGCCCTGTCAGTGTGGAGCCTGCTTGGTATTCTCTTTCTCTCCTCTCTCTCTGCCCCTGCCTCCACTTGCACATGCTCTCTGTCTCTCTCAAAATAAATAAACATAAAATAAAATAAAATAAAATAAAATAAAATAAAATAGTAAAATAAAGTAAAATAAAAAACTGTTCTCTAAGGAAATTGAGCCAGTTTTTATTCACACGAGCTTTATATGAGAATTTCAACTGCATTTGGTCATTCCTTATTTTTTTTTTACTTGTTATTGTTTCTATAAGTAATTAGCTGCTGTTACTTAATCTGAAAACTGTTTCTGTTTTTACATTTATATATAAAGAATCAGAATAAAACTGTTTAAAAATGTGGGTTGGCATTAAGCCACCTGGGTCCATGCCATGAAACAATTTGTATTTTCATTACATTAAGTGTAGCCACATATTTTTATTAAGTTAACCATTTTTAGATTCATATGGGATGACTATATTTTATATACACTTCCTAGAACTTTTGTTTTTACTTTTTAATCTAAAATGTCATTGCTGTATGAGTTTTTAGTCCTAAACTAACTGATGGTATTTAATAGAAAGAACTGCTGTATATTCTATAGCAATACCACAGCTTAGGGTTTTATTATATAGATTTTATTTCTAGGAATTTATGTGGAGTATTTATTAGAGTAACTAATGGATCTTTATTTTTCTTTGAAGTTGGCCTTTGCCAGAGTTTGATCCAAGCCAAATTCGACTGATTGTGTATCAAGACTGTGAAAGACGAGGGAGAAATGTCTTGTTTGACTCCAGTGTTAAGAGAAAAAATGAGGACATATCAGTATCGGTGAGCATCGTTATTGATTTGGTTGAAATTTAATGTCACATATTATAATTCAAGAAAGAAGGAGTGAAATTTCAATTATGACACTTTTGTCGTTACAAAACATCTTTATCATATTTTCAAAATTTATAGCTGTGATTTTGAAAAATTTTAAAGGAAAGAACTTTATTATCATTCTATCACCAGAGAACATTTTAATTTGATTATTTATTTTCCTACATAATTGTATTGTGAGATATGGCTAGAGCTTCAGAGATCCTTATAGAGGATCTGGTCCAAACTCCCATCTTACAGTTGTGAGAAGTGTGACCTAGAGAGGTGAATTTATTTGTCTGAAGGAGCAAAGCATGTTACATCTAGCCCTTAGTGCATGATATTTCCCCCTGCTCTACCGTCGTAAAAAGAGCACCTAGTTTGTTAACTTCCGATGTCATATTTTGAAATATATTATGACTAGTTTAAGAGTAGTACATGGACATTCACTTGGTTGTCCTAGAAAATGTTAACCTTAAAAATAGATATGCTAGTTATTTTACTAGCAAAAGGTGGGTTTATTTGGGAATAAAAAAAATTGTAATCCGGGACAAAGAAGCTGAAGCAAAACCATAGGCAAGTCTAAGGAACAAAGGAGAGACATGCTTTTTTAAGGAGAAAAAGGGTAAGTTGGGAAGGTGGTTCAGAACAAAAAGTCCATTGGGGTAAACTGGGGAGTTTGAAGTGTCGTGGCTTCTCATTGGTGGAGCTACCCGTGGGTGGCAGTGGGGTGAGAAGAATGAGGAACGCGTCTATTCCTTGGGTGGAGTAGTGGAGTACCATCCTCATGCAGGGTCAAGTGCCTGTAAGGTCAAGTCTGTCTCTTCCTGTTGAGTCTGCAGTTAGGTATGAGTGCTAGGGCATGAGCGCTACTCCTGCTGAACCCTCTGACTCCATTTTAGTGAGGTTTCCCATCCATTACGAATTTTCACAAAAACCTAGGTGATTGCTATTATCTCTACTTCTTCTACTGCTAAAGACTCATTCTGTACATCTCTAATGTGGAAATCAAACCCTGGAACAGTGTTTTCTCCCTTCCTCTAAATTAATAATTTTCACTAACATTTTGCTAAATAACTGGAAACAAAATGCTTTGGGAAAGCTTTTCCTAGAATTGTCTGTTAAAGCCAACAAATACTCATTTTTTGAGACTTAGGAGTTTATATTTGAGATTTTGTGTTATCAAAAATATTTGATATATTGGCCATAGTCTATTTTATTTACAACTGCATCCTCAGCATCCACTACAGTGGCATATAATAGAAACTTGACTAATTTTTGAGTTAATTTCATTGCCGTGTTTTACAATGTCCCTTCTAATTACTAACACATTTCTCAGTTTTCTGGAGATGGTGCTTTGTTTAGATTTCTTAGCCATTCTTTGGATACTTTTTTCAATCTGATTAGAAAAGAGCATTGCAGAATGTTCTTAAAATATTGCTTATTTGTGCAAATAACTAAAGATTTATAAGTACTAGGCACTTGGAGATTTAGCAGTCTTTGCTCCTTGGTACCTACAATAAGGTATCCTTTTAGGGGAAGTAGACACTGAACAAATAAGTACACAAATAAATAATACCAAATTGTGATTAAGTGCTGTGAATGAAACACACAGAATGCTTATGAGATTCCCTAGGAAGGGAACCAGTTTTCCTCATTTTGGATGTAGGGGTATTAAGAGGTCTCATTGAGGAGGTGAAATTCCAGCTGACATCTGAAGAAACCCAAGGCATGGAATAGGGGATGAATATTCCTGGTAGAAGGACTTACAAATGCAGACTACATAAAGTGACTTAGAAGCTTCATGAATTGAAGGAACTAAAAGAATGTCAGTCTGGATTGATAGCAAGTAGTATGTAAAGTAGCTAGAGATGAAATTGGAGAGAGAAAGACAGCAGGAGCCAGAGTATTTAGGGCTTTATCAGTCTCTGGGTTAGAAATTTAGATTAAGTTCTAAATGGAGAGGGAAGCCACTACCAGAATCTTTTTAACATTTCAAAAAATCATTTTGGTAGAGAGCCCAGATATAAACCCATGCATATATAGTCAGTTACTCTATGACAAAGGAGCCAAGAATATACAAGGGAAAAGGACAGTCTCTTCAGTAAATGTTGGGAAAACTGCACAGTCACATACAAAAGAATGAAACTAGACCACTATCTAACACTGTACACAAAAACTGACTCCAGATGGATTAAAGACTTAAACATAAGACCTGGAAGCGTAAAACTCCTAAAAGAAAACATGGGCAGTGACTACTGATGGGAGAAAATATTTACAAGTCTTATATCCAATAAGGGGTTAAAATCCAAAAAATATAAGGAAGTCAATAGCAAAAAACAAAAACAAAACAGAAAAAACAATAAACCAGTGCAATTAAGAAATGGACACAAGATCTGTATAGAATTTTTCCAAAGAAGACATACGAGTGGCCAGTACTACAGGGAAAGGTGCTCAGCATCATTAATCATCAGGGAAATGCAAATCAAAACCACAGTGAGATATTGTCTCACACTTGTCAGAATGGCTATTTTAAAAAGACAAGAGGGGCACCTGGTTGGTTCAGTTGGTTAAGTGTCCGACTTCAACTCTGGTCATGAACTTGCAGTTTGTGAGTTCGAGCCCCGTGTCAGGCTCGCTGCCGACCGCTTAGAGCCTGGAGCCTGCTTCCGATTCTGTGTCTCCTTCTCTGTCTGCCCCTCCCCTGCTCACGCTCTGTTTCTCTCTCTCTCCCTCTCAAAAATAAATAAAGATTAAAAAAATTTAAAAAATAACAAGTGTTGTTGAGGGTGTAGAGAAAATGGAACTCTTGTGAACTGTTTATGGGAATGTAAATGTAAAAAAGAAGATACTTTTGCCATTTGTGACAGCATGGATAGATCTTGAGGGCATTATTCTAAGTAAAATAAGTCAGATAAAGGTAAATACTTTATGATTTTGCTTATATGTAGAATCCCCCCAAAAAAGATTCAAGTCCTAAATAGAGATAACAGGAAGTGGTTGCCAGAGGGAGAGGGTGGGAAGTGGGCAAAATGGGTGAAAGGGGTCAAAAGGTACAAACTCCCAGTTATAAAATAAGTCATGGGGATGTAATGTCCAGAATGGTGATTATCTTTAAAAATATTGTCTTGTGTATTTGAAAGTTGTTAAAAGAGTAAAAGTTATCATCACACGAAAAAAATTGGTGACTGTGTATATTGATGGATGTTAACTAGGTTTATTGTGGAGGTAATTTTGCAGTATCTAAAAAAATCATTATGTTGTACACCAGAAACTAATATAATGTTATATGTCAGTTATCTTTCAGTTTAAAAGATATAGTGAAAAAAATCAGTTGCTGCTGTTAGGGGAATGGCTGGATGTGGGGGATGAGGGAGAAGGAAGTGTTTGGTAAATCCAACAGTTTGGTTTGAATAGTTGAGTAATGAGATATAGCCTTATAGTGACAAAATTGTGGATGGTTAGTTGAAATCTAAGGTTTCATATGTGATAAGCATGTCTTCTTTGTATTTAGACTGCTGATAGCTCAGCAGAACTAGACTGAGGCTGACAGATTGATAATTGATTGATATATATTACTTTGATTTTTTAAGGAAGTATTGAGAGTTTTCTTTGCTTGATAGTGTTCCACTGCATTGTAGCATAGGACCTCTCATTTATTATTTATCTTGATTAATGCTTATTCATTGTGTGTTTTTTCAGCATTATTACTTTTTTTCTTATGCAGCCTTGTGAGTCTTGACTCCTGCTGTTACTTGAATCCTCCCGCCCACTTTTTCTGGAATGATGCTTAATTGGTTCTTGTTAGTCTTCTCTCTTGCTGATGTCTTTCACGGTTAACTTTTTTCTTTGTCTGCAGACATTCACAAAGCCCCTGTATACAACACCAACAAAATGATTATCCTTTTACTTTCTCCTTCATGTCTGTGTCGTCTTTTTCTTTTTCTGACTCTTCATTCTTAGCATCTGTTGCTGTCTCAGTCTCTCTGCCTCACCGTCAGGCTGTCTGTCCTTTCTGTCCGCTGGTCTCCTTAATGTCTCTTCTTGGTTTGCTTCATGTCTCTTGGTCTTTTCTCTCTCTCTATGTCTCGGTATTAATCTGTCTGCTGGCTCTAATCTCATACCACCCACTCATTCCTCATTTTTCTGAAATTTTCCTGTAAGCCTACTACTTAAAAAACAAACAAACAAAAAACACAAAACTGTTCTTGTGTGAATCAGTCATTTAAGCATTCGACTCTTCATTTCAGCTTAGGTCATCATCTCACAGTTCATGAGACTGAGCCCCACCTTGGGCTCTGTGTGCTGACAGTGCGGAACCTGCTTGGGATTCTCTCTCTCCCTCTCTCTTTGTGCCTCCCCTGCTCATGTATGTACACGCTTTCTCTCTCAAAATAAATAAACATTAAAAAAAAGTTTAAAAACCTGTTCTCTGGGTGCATGGGTGGCTCAGTCACTTAAGCATCCAACTGTTGAGCTCAGGTCATGATCTCACGGTCCTAAGACCGAACCCTGAGTTGGGCTCTGTACTGAGCATAGAGCCTTCTTAAGATTCTCTCCACACTCTTTCATGCACGCTTGCATTGCACTCTCTTTCTTTCTCTCTCTCAAAAAAACCCCAACAAAAACCCAAAAAAAAAACCAATAAATCCTGAAAAACTCAAACTCAAACTTCTCTAGACTCACTGGTGACTAGAAATCAAACAGCCTTGAATATCTCCAGTCTCTCTTGGCTTCATATGTCCTCATCCTACATGCCATTTCCCTAGATGAAGATTTATCCACTTTCAGGGTTCATTTTATCAGAACTTTATGACTCCTCTCTGATTCTTCTAGGTATATTCCTTTTCTATCAAAATTCTCATAATCCTTTATTCATAGTTTGTTCATAGACTTCTATATTATAGCTATATTTTTATGCACATTCATTATTAGTTGGGAAAGAAAGACAAAGTAAAATATTCATCTGT